ATCCATTCTGATTTTCCCCTTGGCAATTTATTGACATCAAGAAAGTGACCTTGGGCATACTGGCCTGTTTGCAGCTCAAAGAAGTCTTCTTTCTCCTTTCCTCCCAGCTTCTCTTTCACTTAGTTTTCTCTCTGGCTTGAGGCTCTGGACTTGGTCTTTTTTTAAAAGACTTATTCCTGTCTTTTGGACTTTGTGTTATCATGAGATTTTCCCAACCTTTCCTATTATGTCTATGCCCCACTCCTGGCCAAGTTCTCCATTCACCAGTCAACTTGGATGAGGAATTCAGACCTTATCCATAGGTTTGTTGGGAATCAAATAATGAATTTTATGTGGAATGCCTAAAATAAGGAAAGATTGGTTCTCATTCCTTATTACACTTTTCCCAGGAAATGTTGTCAATTACCAGCTGAGACAATTTGGGAGGATCTCTTAAGATTTATGAGCCTGTAGAAAACAGGAAAAATGACACTTATTCCACTGGGTTAGTGGGAGGGCCCAGGAGATGCTATAGATTAGAGAGTCTAAGTCTTGTCATCTCACACGAAAAGAAACCAAGGCTCCACTCAGGGAATGCCAGAGGTGAGATGTAAGAATCAGCACATTTAAATAGGGAAAAGCATTTGCATCAGTGCCAACTCATCCCAGGAGACATAATGCCTACAATTTATGATACTTTTAAAGTCCCTTGAAAATATCTCAATTTCTTTTAAAATCATGTGAAAAAAGTGAACTTTATGTTAAAGAAAATATTTTAATTTAATATTAATATCTTCATATTTATACAAATTCAGTTATAATATATAACTCTGTGTGTGTGTGTGTGTGTGTGTGTGTGTGTGTGTGTGTGTGTGTATGTAGGACCATAAAAGCCAAAGTGCCCAGTGGTCCATGAAAGTCACATGTGATTCATGATTTCATGGCCACTGCCTTGAAAGTCCTAACTGCTAAAGGACATATTATTATTCTAAGAGAAGTTCCTCTCTTGCATTATCTAAGGAGGAAGTTCATGATAGTTGAGCAGAATCATTTCATCCTGCTAACTTCTAAGCAAGGGAAACTGGTTATAGTCACCAAAATTGCAATGTGCATATGATGGTCAGCTTTTCATCATTGTGACCAAAATGCTAGACAAGAACAACTTAGAGAGGAAACATAATTTTGACTCACAGTGGCAAAGGTCTAGTTCATGGTTGGCTGACTCCATAGCTCTGGGCCCCAAATGAGACAGAACATCATGGTTAAAGGCAGAGCAGAGGAAAACCAGTCAGTTCATGGAGGCTGGAGAGCAGAGGGAGCAAGAGGAAGGGGCTGCAGGGAAGATGCACCCTTCTAGAACATGTCCTCAGTAACCCACCTCCTCCAATCATGCCCTATCTGCCTATGGTTACCACCCAGTTAATCCATGCAAACTAGAATGGACCGAGTAAATCAAAGCTTTAATAATCTAATCATTTTGACTTTGAATATTCCTGCATTAATACAGGAGCTTTAGGGGGAACACCTCATATCCAATCTGTACCACTATTTCTTCTCCATAGCAGGGAGGCAATTGTGGGTAAGAGACCCAGCCTCGAAGTGGAGGAAACTTCCTGAGATACTTCCATTTACACTTATTTCCATGACCACAGGACTTATATGGGTTTTATTTTCCATGAGATGGAGAAAATGATAGGATTGGGTAAAGTACTAGGGCTTTGTTAAAGGTAAATACCTATCCTTCCTAGATGACCTTTGTGCCTTGTCTTCTGTCCTCTGGAGAGGTGATGCCCCCAGAGAGTCACAGCAAGCTACTGTTTGTAAAGTCATTGCAGCCAAGCAATATGGGCTCTAATTTCATCAGAACATTATGAAACTGATCAGTTTCTTTGTATAAAATCTTAAAAGGGCTCCCCGGACTCTTTAAGCCAAAAAAAGGGCTTTTGAAAGCAGTTCAGGAAATTGGCATCATGAAAGCGATTTCCACATGTGTCTCTCAATATTACAATCTACCCCTTTAGGTGCTGGTCTTTCCTAGACTATAATAGGAAATGAAAGAACAATTTAGTTTCCTTTTTTAAAGGAGGCACAATTAAAAAAAAAAAGTGGGTAAAAATCCAATGCATGGGGATGATGTGCAGACCATTAGAGTTCTTCCCTTGGCTTTGAGGCCTGATCCATGTATTCTCAATTTGCTATGAGAATTCTGCTCCATCTAGGTCAGGAAGAATTACGTGTGTGTAACTGAAGTGCAGTGTGAATTTTGAGCAGAGCACGTGATCCTAAGAATGCAGAAAGATGGTATAAATTTGCATCATCTTATGAGGAACCTTTTCTAAAACATTTAAACCCTTTTTAGCTGATAAAATAAAAGGGATGGGGTGGAAATGACACCCCCAAACTTCACACATTCTTTTCTTTTCAATGAATAAAAGAATTATAAAATCATCCATCCAGTTGTCACCCAGGGCCCTTTAACACCAGCCCCTGGAGCAGAACCTCAGGCTCCTCCCAGAAGGCTCACCAATTATTTACTGGAAACCAACATGTGGTTCATTTTGTGTCATTTCTTAAGCTGATGCTTTTGAATTGAAATGTGCTTTAGACTGGATCTTTTCCCTTCTCCTGTCACTCTGACACTGGGCTGTGCAGCGCACAGTGCAGTTTTCTGGAAATGGGTTTCCTGCTCCAACTTCTGTCCCCAACTCAGTGTTCATAAGAAGAAACCATAGGATGACATATAGGAACAGGCAAACTGTCCTTAGAGTTCCTCTGGAAGGTTTTCTGAGAAAAATCAGGGCAGCTGTTTCAAGGGGGTAGGGATTGTTCCTGAGGTTGGTTCTGAGGATTCAGGATAATTCCATTTTGCAAATAGTTTTTGAGTGCCTGCTGTGTGTTAGGCTCAGTGATAGGAACTGTAGGGGATAGAAGGGTGGAGAAATGGTCCTGTCCTTCAAGGACTTCACAATTGGGCAAAGAAGACAGAAAGGTATAGCATGGATACCATGAGACACTCACTGATCTGTCATACAATGGAAGTCTGCAGGAGGAGCATGAATATGAGTGGGGAATAGAAGCTGGCCTTTGAAAGACAGAAAAGATTTCATGAGGTAGAGAAGGTAGGAGGGGAGGGCATTGGGGGCAAAAGGAACATGTTTTAGTCAGTTTTCACTGCTATAACTAAAAGACCTAACCAGAACAACTGCAGAGAGGGGAAAGTTTATTTGAGGGCTCACGGTTTCAGACATCTCAGTCCACAGACAGAAGGCTCCATTCCTCTGGGCTTGAGGTGAGGCATCAGGGGGTGGAAGAGTGTGGCAGAGGGAAGCAGCTCACATGATGATCAGGAAACAGAGAGAGACTCCACTGGCCAGATACAAACTAGATACCCCAAAGCCACACCCACAATGAGCCACTTCCTCCAGCCACACCCCACCTGTCTCCAGTTCCCACTCAGTTAATCCCATCAGGGATCAATGCATGATTAGGTTAAGGCTATAACCCCAATCATTTCTCCTCCAAACCTTCTTGCATGGTCTCACATGTGAGCTTTTGGGGGATACCTCACATCCAAACCATAACAGAACAGCAGTAAACAAGCATGAGAAGACTGCCTCCAGTGTGTGTGTGTTTATGTGGAATACAGGTGAGGAGGAGGGATAGATCTTGCATGCTGGAGGCTGATGGGAATATCAAGACACACCAGGTTCCAGGCCCTTCTCCCAGTCTAAGTTATCTAGTATAAAAGACAGTCGTGTGTACATAAATAACTTTAATATGAAACAGACGGCAAGAGATGCTGTGAGGGAGTTATATGACATACTCTGAGTGCATCTCAGATTTAGGAAGGCAGAGCTAATAGGACTTGGCATGATTAGAGGTGGGGAAGACGACAGAAAAGTCAAAGATGACTTCTGCATTTCATTTCCTTTGAACGATGGAGTCAATAGCCACAGCATATTTTGTGTTCCCTGTTCTGAAAAAATTTTGTATTTTTTTTTCTTGAATTCAAGACAGCTGAATATTGTGGTTTTTAAATGTATACTTTGGCACATTGGGGTTGGGAGCATAGCTCAGTGGTAGAGTGCCTGCCTAGCAGGTGTGAGACCCTGGGTTTGATCCTTAGCACTGTGAAAACCAAAACAAAACAAACCACACACACTTTGATGTCTCGACTTACATGATGTCCTCCTAAATGGATATAAAATATGCATACAGCAAAATAAATACCAACTCACCATTGTATTAACTTCAAACCTATCTTCAAATAGGTGCCTTCTAAAATAAGTGCTCTGCGGCATACACAAAAGGTAAATGCATTTGCAAACTGTATGAGAAAAGTAGAGTAGAATTTTTGGATTTAAAATCCAGAGGAGGTATCTATCTAAAGCACTATTATTTAGCAAATTCTCATTTTTTTTTCTTCCAGTGACTGTTGAAACAGTGGAAGGGAGACAATTTGGTGGGTTTGAGATAGGGGAAGGAAAAATCTGTGTGTCAGGTTGGGATAAGCCTCAACTGTAGAGGACAGGAGACAGGAAAATGCACACAGTAAGCGTCTTAGCGTAAGAAAAATTGGAGGGTTGAGTCAGAGACAGAGGCTGAGGGCTACCAATTACTAAGCATGGCTTTCTGCCACAGCTACACATTCACTTAAAGCTTGTAACAATCCTCTGAAGTAAGACTTCCATATTTATTTTATAGATGAGCACACTGAGGCATTGAGCTTGAATAACTTGTTCAGGACACACAGTTTATAAGTGGGTGATTCCCAATGACTGTGCACTTAATCCTTTACCAAAATAAGTTCTTAATAAGAAAAAGTGAAAGAAGAGAGGTATTTGCCTTTAGGGTTTCCTGTATAAAAAAACTATTTTATTCAGATTTAAGGAAAAGAAATTTATAAAACCTTATTATATTCTCTGAGAAAAAGAGGTTGGATCCTAGAGTCATAAGCTTTTAGAATTTTGAAGCACAATTTTGATCTATTTCCAATTCATTATTGTTTTCTCATTTTATAGATGAGGAGACTGAAACCTGAGGATCAAATAGAACTATTGGGTATTTTCTGGAGGTCAACGATACGCACCGCAGGTGTGTGCTGTGCCTGGACAGGCAAAAGCATTTGCTCAGTTGTGTTGTTGGCATTACTACATCATGGGGAAGAATCACAACTCAGAGATCACACACACAGGGCTCTGTTAGGAATCCCTCAGCATAAGACTTGACTTTTCATGGGGGGAAAAGTGGAGGTTTAGTGTGCTTCTGACTCAGCTTTCAAATGAAGCTTGAAATTTGAAGTTTGAAAGTTTCAAATAAAGTTTGAAAGTTTTCCCTAGGTGTCCTGATCGGCTCTTCAGTCTCAGCTTCCAGTAAACTGGGGAAGAAAATTCCTCTCTGTCTCCATAAATTTACTTCTAATAAATTTTGCTTGTACCCTATAGAATCTGTGTCAATTCGCTTTTTTCATCAATTCCAGGACAATTTTGTGTTCACTTGATGGTTATTTGATGTCCTCATATGGTCTTCCTGAAAGTGCGCTCAACAGGTTTGAAGAGTATTGAAGAGTCAGGCAGATTATCTTGAGCTGGCTTCAAGTTCAAATTCCACAATGACTTGCAAATGATCTAACCGTGGGCAAGATTCTTTACCTCCAAAAGTCTTGGTTCTCTCATGTGTAAAATGAGTGGAATAATAATCCTTGTATGGTAGGATTTTGGGGGGAGGATTAAATGAGCCACTGCAGATAAAGGGCTTAGCACTTTCTGAGCTCATAAAGAGAACTCAATACATCATTGCTAATCATAACAAATAAAATAAATTCATTATACAACTTGCATTGTGTAAGCTTATTGTTATTGAAAATATAAATCACAGTAAGATAGAGTGATTCAAGAGTTACCAATATTTTATTGCAAATAGTAAACCTCTTTTTCCAAATTCACTGTCTAAACTCAGAGACCCTCTCAGTAGAGTTAAAATGAAATGGGTAGATAAACAATAAGTAGTATGTTTAAAACACTTTTTTGTGGAGACTACTATGTGATTCCAAATTAGTCACATTAAGGCTCCTGTGAAAAATTCCTTGCAGAATTTAGGATTTGAAAATAACTTTTCTTTCTTTTCTGAAGTTTTGTTACATTGGAAAAGGAAAGGAACTTAAACTTACGACCCTTCTTTTTTGCTTTCTGTCAATAAATCTGGTGCTAAGTTTTACACTACAGAAAACACCATTAGCATAGATCTGCTGTTATTTTGCCTTTTTATTCATTGTAATGATTTTTCAGTTTTATCGTATTTACACCTTATATTTTAAGTTTCTCAAAATCTTTTTGTACATCAGAGAAATATAAGTAAATACCCTAAAATAATGTTGTGTCCATGATTTTTCTTAACAAATACATCTTATGCCCAGTTCTATATGCCTGACTTGAAATAGCTTTTATTTTACCAAAAATCCAATAAAAACGGCAAAGTTAATTTATATAAACACTCCTTTTATGTTTTCAAAGAATGAAATAGGAAAGTGTTACCCTTACAGGACATTTCATTGAACCAAGAAAGAGAGAGAGGTTGCAGGGGCTATTGTCTGGGGCTGTTGTGTGTGCTGACCTGGGAGGAACATCTCTTGGTAATTAGTCCATGCAGTCAATAATCATAAAACCAAACCAAACCAACCAGACAAAACTAGCAGCTGACTTATACAGAATATTTTACCTGTACATTTCTCATTTCATAGATGAAAAGTAAGAAAAGTTAGAGAAGGCTAAGATCTGTCAGTTGCTGAGTACTTACTAGGTCGGCAGCATGACTTTAAGCACTTTACAGCTACAAATTCACTTGAAGTTTATAACAGTCTTATGAAATAGGTTTTATTATTATTATTATTTGTTTTGGAGATGACTAAACTGAGGCATTGAGCTTAAATAACTTGCTCAAGACACATAGTTTTTAAGTGGGTGGTGCCTAGCGTTTATATCATTAATCCCTTTATCAAAATAAGTTTCAATTAAAAAAAAAAGACGGTTTGCACTTGGTTTATTTACTTTTCCCATCAGCCATGCAGAGTAGGAAGCATTCTTTTCTATTTCATTTTACCTGAGAAAACAGAGGCTCAGAAATGGTAGAAGCCACCACCCAGGCCTCACAGGAAATAACTGCCCTGGCCAGGATTTAAAGTCAGATCTTACGGTAAAAGCCCAGGTTTTTCACTATCCTAGGCTGCTTCTCCCAAGTCCAAGCTCAAGAGTGCAACAAACAAGACTCTTCTTTAACCTCTGGCCTTTCATCCAAAATTTTGCTCAACAGAGGAAAACCGGCAAGAGCTAAGGGCCTCTAAATAAGAATTATCTTTCAGGTATATCCCACCTACAGTTTTTCCTTTCTCTTCCTAAAAACCAGAGTGGTCTTTAAAATCAATATCCTTAGAGTCAGAGAAGGTGTTGGGCAGAAGAAATTCTTGCCAAAGTAATTGGGAGAGCCGACTCAGGCTGGAAGAGAGCCATAGCTATTGAAATTGCTGTGACTGCACAGACCATTGAGCCACGGTTGGTGAATTCAGTATCAGACAAATAGTAAATTTTGATGAATTTTAAATGTCTGAAATGAGAACCTTTGCTATTAGGTAAAAAAAAAAAAAAAAAACCAGTCTGAATTAGAGTGGTATGGGATGGAGAATCACCCAACAGGAGAAAATGGGGCTTCATGGAGCCTGAGGACACTACGAGGCAAAGTGCTTCATTGAACACCTGCTGAGGTGAATGGATGCTTAGCCCTTGACAGAGACCATTCCTGCCTGTATATGAATTGAATTTTGTGGGTAAAGGAATTGTTGAGCTCTGTGGTTCATCCCACCTCTTCTTGTTGTGTTCATGATAAACACAGAGTTATAAGAGGCCCCCAAGGGAGTGCTATGGAAAAGCCACTCACTTGGGTGGACCCCCACCACCATTTACCTTCACCAGACTGGGAACAATACTGCCAGGTCTGGGCCTGCTTTTCCTTGAATGTGTCACTTTCACCAACCAAAAGGCAGTATTTTCCTGGAGTTCTTACTTGAAGGTTGTTCAACACATTTCCTTGCAGAGCTTGCATTTCCTTTCAGCCTCTCCTGACTAGAAACTGTATGTCTGGGCTTCTCCCCCTTCACAACTCCAAAATTTCAAAAGTGGAACTTCTAAGCTCTTGTTTGAATCTCAGTCTCCATTTCCAATTAAGTAAGCTGAAGTTTCTTTTTTTTTTTTCATTTCATTTTTATTGTTGGTTGTTCAAAACATTACATAGTTCTTGACAGTTTGATTCAAGTGGGTTATGGACTCCCATTCAATGGGCAATGTGAGTTTGAACGAGGTTGCTTTTCTAGAACACTCAACGTGGTGTTTGGTTTGCTCTGGGCACACCCCTTGCACAACCACATTCTTTCTTTTTTAACTTAGGAAGAGATCAAAAGTCCTACCAGGAATCCCCCAAACACCTGAACCATTCTTTTTCTATTTCCAGAAATAGTTTCTGGGGCCACTGAAAGATGTTGATGTTATCTATTTAATATTCTGAGGAATAATCCTATTAAACAAAAAACAAGGGAAACTGTTATGGCCACAAGGCGGAATTACCCAAAGCTGACTGGCAGGGGTCGAGTTACTTTACAAAACCCTAGCTGTGTGCTGTTTCTATCGCTCCATCAAGGGCTTGGTGAATGAGCAATAATTTGTGGATTCTGCTCATCTCTCTTTGCGAACTTTGTTCTATGGAATTAGATACAACTTTGACAAATTAGAATAGGCTCCCTGGTGCCCCGCTGTCCCCAGAGGAGCACAGTCCACTGATTGTGCGCTGGCCTTCTGAAGTCCGGCCGTGTCAGGCCATCAGCAGCAGCCCGTCCACCAAGGGCACTTTTTAATAAGCAAGTCTGTCAGCACCAGGTTCTTCGGATCTTCCGACCTCTCCTTAATCCCCAGGACGCGCTGACTTTCTTCTCTGTTTCATTTATGGCAAAAGGCCCTGTCCCGGGAAAGAAATATCTTCTTTGTTTATAGAGTACGAGCAACAAAATTAACCTTTGAGATTAACTGTAAATGAGTGAGGATCGTGTTTTATCATTCCCTGGGATAGGGGGTAGTGGTTAACACTTGTATAAGGCAGAGGGCATGTGCACCCATGTGCATGTATGTGCAAGAATACACACACCACCTCCACCATTACCCAATATATCTCCAGTTTGGCTCCTTCTTCTTTATCTATGTGTAGTTCTATTCTGGGATGGATAGAGGTAAAGAAGGATATTCCATTTCTTTTTCTATTCTTCAATTCCATTTCAAGTCTTAGAGAATCATTAGAAAGGTCTTCTGATACTTCTAAAGATGAAAACTTGTCTCTGGCTAAAGACAAATCATGGTTTTACAGTGGAATTTTTGGACTTGGTAAAAAGAGATTTCCTGATGCAGAAAAAGAGCCACAAAAGATATCATATTTATAGAATCATATTTAGGGGAAAGTGCCTTTTCTAGAGTTTACATAGCAACAGATATAAGATTTAATACTGTCAGATATAAGGATTGTGGTTTTACAAGATATAGAGAGGGCTGTGCCAGTATATACATCACTTTTGTGTTTTTCCCCCCAAAGACTGTCAATAAGACAAACAAGATGCTTTATTCTTAATTATTTCTAACTGGTTATGTTCAAAATGTGGTGTGACTCAATTAGATATACGCTTAAGATTTTTTGTTTGTTTTGGTACTAGGGATTGAACCCACGGTGCTTTACCACTGAGCTACATCTTCAGCCTGTTTTATTTTTTATTTTGAGACAGGATCTTGTTAAATTGCTGAGGCTGGCCTTAAACTTTCAATCCTCCTGCCTCAGCCTCCTGAGTTGCTGGGACTATAGCAGTTGGTACAAACAGCAACAATAGAAGCAGTTTATTACAAAATTTGTACTGGGAAGCAAATGGAAGCCAATTGCTTCAACATAGCTGTTAGTCTGGATCTCCAGAAACTCCTGAAAGGTGAGGTAAGTCAAGATTGGATTATTTCTGGCCCATGGAAAGCCTAAGAATGAACTTTTGATGTCCACTATTTTCTACTAAGGAAATAGCCACCACCCACTTTGCTGTGCTTGTCTATTTTTTTTGAGGGGGGGGGTCTTCTCCTTTTAAAACTAGTTCAATAATGACAAGGTATCACTCCCACTATGGAAGCCAAAGCCAGGCACCCAACTTTATGCTTGTGTTTTTACTTCTCGAAGTTGCTGGAATGTGTCTGGAACATGGAGCAGTAACTCAGACTGGCCATGGTCACTTCTTGAAGCCAATAGTTCTATTAGAAGCACATTCTGATTCTAGTTTCTACATATGTGGCTGAATTCTGGGAAGTCTGACCACATTTATAATT